AAAATTTAATGAGCGCCCAGGGAGGTTGATTGAATAAATACGGTAGTAATCTTTTCTGACCCAGCTCTCCGCTGTCTGGTTATAATTGAGAAAAGCGCGTTGTGATTGTAAGAGCGCAGACCCGTGTTCATTCCCTACCTCTTTTAGCGACTAAAGCACGGGGAAAGTTCCAAGGGCCGCTGGAGAAGAATGAAAGAGTTCTTAGGTCGGCCAAACGTCCCTTGGTCCGAGAGATACTAATGACCGAGTTACGAGTTGAGTTGAGTTTGAGTTGAGTTTGAGTTGAGTTTGAGTTGAGTTTGAGTTAAGTCTGAGTTAAGTTTGAGTTACCGTTGCTTTCATTTTTGTTAACTTAAAAGTGGTTAATGGAAGATCCAGATCGTTTTTACACAAAATTGACCGACTGTTCGTTTTTTCACGAATGAAAAAGTGTTTAATAATTTTACATTCCCAAACGTGAAGCGTTGAATTGTCCTCATTTTGTTGGCCTTGACGGTCAAGATGACCGGTCACATTCGATGATATTGAAATGAACTAAAGTTTTCTATGCTGTTGTTTACTACCAGTATACACCTGGCTATATTGGGAACTTTGATCTAAAAAAATGAAGTAGAAGTGAACTGAATTAAACTGTTGTTTACTTACAATTCACGAATTGAAACAGAAATCGGCGCGGGGTTCGCGAACTTCCGGTCTCAAATTTAACAAAACCCGTAAGTCCTGAATTTATGTATTTCTTTCCAGCAGATAAAGGATGAATTTTTAAGCCTGTGTAGCGAGACATTTTAGGGTCTTTTAGTTATTTATAGCATTGCGAATGAAGTGACTGCATTTGTATTAAAGGTGTCGCTTGATATTGTTTTTGTCGGTATGCAAAGTTATTACGGTCCGACAAAACTAAAGCAATCCGTGCACGCTGTAGCCTGTGTACAGACGCCCCTCCCCCCCTCAGAAAAAATCTGAGGGGAGGGAGGGGCGTCTGTACACAGGCTATGCACGCTGTGTTTTTTCTCTTCGTATTTCTTTTCTGTCATTAACTTAAAGAATAATAGAATTAATGACAATTCCATTCAACCTCCCCGTTTGAGAGGCAGATATATATGCGTAACAACGTACGTTTCGAATCAAAGGTTAAAGTATCGCTTTAGTCGCTGCGTATGTAAATTAACCTGAACTCACTGGAGACAAAAAAAACTTGCGATATCTCGGTTAAATTCTTGTAAATAAATACTGGCATAAGAGCCAGCCCGTGAATAAGAAATGCTAACGTACGCAATATTGCGGTAAGCTTATGTTTTCACAATGACATGGTCAACAGTTTTTTAAAATTATTTACAGAAAAATCAAAATACGGTAGATCACTTTCATAATGTTCAGTCTGAATTCTTGAACACAAAAGTGCTTGTTTTTACGCTCCGAAGGCTTTCCGAGAAAAACACGAATGCAAAAGTATATGGTAATTTTGCTAATTTTAATCCACGGACTTTTGTCAACACTTCATGCAAAAACAACAATGCGTTGCAAAACAGTGTATTTTACCAGACAGCGTTTTGCACATGCCATTATTGATGCAGAAACATTCGGGGCCTCTTCGTGAGTATTTCGCGCATTTTCGGTATCAGCCGTCGCACTTCGTGCATACTCTTTTCATAAATGCATACTGAAGAGCGGAACCTTTCCCCCACGACCTGAAAGAGACAGGCGCCTGCCTTCAAATGTTTTTTGGGCTTGTCACGCACTCCTTTTTCCGACGGCGTGATGGGCGAAAAACGAACGTTTATTTTTTAATTTTTTTCCTTTAAGTTAATGTTTTGAAATATCATTCGAACTAAAGAGAGTATATTCCAACAACAAAGGAAACTCAAATGAAAACAACAACACCAAACGGGATTTCTATGTCCTGTCGCTCTTAGGTCCTTACATTTCTTTACATTATCTCCTCGTCAATCAATTTCTGATATTCATCGGGAGATATGTTGATATTCTCGTCTAGTGCGACAGCCATCGGAGGAACAGTCAAATTGCTTTGTCTTGGTTGCGTGCTTATGCAATCTTTTGGGGGCAAAATCGAAAATTACGTAGTACCGCGAAGCGATTTCCATCCGCGGTTGCATTTGGTGTGACATACAGCCCCTCGACTGTAATGCAAATGTCTCCATCTGAGAAATGAGTCTCGCAGCCTGGTTTAGCACACCTTGGTTTTGGGCCAGGTTGTGATTTAAACCGCTGTACTTGCCAAACTTGCTTCCTTTTTGCAGCGTGGTGTGCGTTAAAAATGGCTACATTTGTTGGTTTAGTCACTACGGGAGATTTCAAATCCAGCTTACTAAATAAGTCGTCCAATTCATTTTTGTCAATGCTTTCTGATAGAGACGATAGTCTTCATCTTGAACTTTAAAGAAGTTCAAAAGCACGAAAAGAACATGTTTACAAATATTAGCACTATTCGCATACGGACAATTACATGTTGGATGCTCAGAAATCTTGACCTCATATGTGTTTAGTCCCGATCTGATTACGAATTGCCTCTCGTTTCTTCCAAGCTCGTTAGAGTCAACAAGCAAGAATGTTTCCTTCTTGGCGAGCTCCAAGGAGCGCTGGAACGCCTTACTGGCACTTTTTCGGAAACGGCCGTCACGTCTATCCTCACGTGTCCCAGCTTTGGGGGCTGAATGATGAATCGTCCTCAGAAGACGAAGATGCTAAGTTACTTCCATCGCTAAAAACACTGACTTGACGTTTTCGTTTTCGTGTCGCTCTATGGGAGCAGTTAGCATCTACAGATGAAGCTCTAGAAGACTCTGCTTGTACATATAAGGAATTGTCGACAACACCTGCTGAAATTTCTTCTCCAAAGGCTTTCGCTCTTGTCATTTGCTGGAAATAGTTGGCTTTGAGTCTGTCACTTTGGCTCCGATGTTTTCCTCCTTTATAAGTTCCATAACCGTATGATTGAAGTTTCTTTGAGAGCATGATTGCTTCTGCCACATCCTCCTCTGCAGCCATGGCAAGGGTTAGCCTGTAAGATCCTTTTTGGCCCACTGCGAGTGACCAACTTCAGCCAAATTGACGTTTGGGGTAAGTGGTGCACCACATTTGAACGCCTTAAATATATGGGTCCTTCTTTTATGCCACCATTTGAACCAGCTAATGATATGACCTCGCTTTGCAGGCTTTTCATCTGAAAATGCTACGAGTTCTTTCCTGGCTTGATCGTAACGATAAGGCGTTGGTGCTTCAAAAATGTTCCTAGCGAGAGTCTTGAACGTATGCTTTGACTTATCACTCCAGTTCGTATGTATCTGCCTGTTGCAACACTGAAAAAGTGAAATTCACAAGACACACACTGTTCTAAGGATTTACTGCCAAATACTTTTTCGATGGCATCCCAGTTTCCTCCTGCTTCATCGAACATCCATCCCGCTGGATTAAAGATATATTCATCGTCCCCTGTAAAATCTCGTAGAACCTCAAAAAAAAAAACAACGTCAAATGAATTACAATTAATAATATTGCAGTGCACATCCATCGCTGATTATACTTGTGGATTCAAAGGCCCAGTATCACCCATTCGGCTTTGCGGTCCTTTGATTTTGTTTTCAAATGACGAGCTCGCTCGTGATTGGCTCTTTCGGGAATTTTCGCCTGCGTTAAAGTCAATCGCAGAGGCATTGGGCGCGCAATGCATTTTGGGTGATACAGGGCCTTTAACCAAAAAATGACGTATTCAATATCTTTGAATAAGTTGTCAAATTAAATGATGTGTTTCTTTTATATGTCTGAACGATGTAAAACATAATAAAATTATTAATAATGCGTCCAGATAAATGCAAAATGCGTAAAATAGGCAAACTTAACGTAACATTGCTATTGAATTTCCTTTTGTACCCTGCGAGCAGTGGACTCTTGTCGTCCGGCGTAGCTCGGCGTAGAAGAATCCAGGGTACTCCGATCCTTTTGTGGACCATTTCGTGAGCGCAACGAGCGTCATCTTTGAAACTGTTTTAAACTTTTCCCGCCAATTTTATGCGCGCGGTTTACCACTCAATCTTTTTTTTTTTACTTTTTCCTGTTAATTGCCTGCACAGGCGATTTGTATACGTAAGGCCTCCAATCACCTGTGTAAACCACCGATTTGCTTGCGATTTTAATGGGATGAAAGCAGAGTGCATGCATGTTGTATGCAGAACACAGGCAATTTGAACCTGAAAACTTTGCAGGCGATTAAAATTGCCGCAAAGTTCTTCAGAATCACTAAGAGTAAAACAAAATGGGGATTAAGACCATAATACTGTACAGGTAGTCGAGCACGGAATTTTACCAGAGCAGTTGAAAGCATTCTTCCATCAATCCTTTAAAACTCCATAAAATTACATAGATTTCCAGTGGCGGATCTAGGGGAGCCCCCCCCACGCCCCCGAGGACGTCTGCGTCAGCCACTGATTTGTAACAGAACAACAAATCACAAGTAGAAATTAATGGAACACTGGGACACTGCCTAGCTAACAAAAACAAGATCAAAGTTACCTCATTAAGATTGTTCCAAAACGTCTGTATTACGAGACTGGACTCGGCCTCACACTCCATTGTAGCTAAGTTAACAAGCTCATTTAAAGTTGGATGCCACACCCAAAGGGTCAGTGTTTTGAAGCCTTGGCATCGACTGTGCACGGCATCAAGGAAACAGAACTCTTTGGATAGAGGATGCTCACTTTGATCTTTGTCCATTTGAACACATATTTCAGCTTTTTCTCTGCTCGTTTTAAAGACAAGGCTTTGTTGGCCATTATTGAAGTGACGATTATTAATTTTCCAGACTAAGTACTGATCTTTCTCGTCTGTTTTCTTCTTTATTTCTGCAACAGCATCAAAGTTGTGCCCATGGGGATGCATGCTATTTGCTACTTTAGACTTTATGTTCTGCACCTTTTTCTTGTCTAGCATTGCTTCGGCAACATCCTCCACTTCCGACCACGGTCTGCCTTCTCTGATCATGTTTGTTAGCTTGGCAGTTGGAACTGCAGAGGGCTTAACCATTGAATGTGTTTTGAAAAACTGTTCAATGTCACTGTCTGCGTGTAGCTTGGGCTTAGGAATAGCTGTGCAAGTGTGATTCCCAATATGGTAAATGGTTGCAATGTTAGAACCTTCTGGATATTCACTGACCTTCCTAGCTGAGCAAGAAATGTATTCACCTTTGAAGTTGCAAGATCTGCAAAGTTCGTTTCCTCCAGATCTAACGAACTGGACACTGTTTGCTCTTCCAAATTGTTTTTGTAGGGACAGTTCTTGTTCGTGCAAAGGTAAGAACCCCTACAAGATTGAACATTTCTCTTTCCACGGAACCCCTTTCGACTTGAGGTGACCCACGGTTTCCAGGGACGACCATCGTGTATGTTACGCCCATCTTTGTGAAACCGAACTTGGAAAACCTTCGAACCATCTATATCATAGGGTAACTCGTTAACCACTTCAACATCAACTCCAAACCATAAAGATGGATCCAGCTTGAGTCTCTTTCTGTAGTGATCAAACGACAAGAAATTAAAAATACAGCGATACTACAAACTAAACTTTAGCTAGGTACTTTTCATTAGATACGTGATTTTAACATTAGTATGATGAAGACGATTTTTGTCGATATTCAGTATTTGTATTTTTCGATCATGCAAAGTACTTAAAAAAATGTTAAAAATAAATTCTGAACAAGACTATAACACTTGTTATTATTGCCTTTATATCTGATATTAAGGTTGGAAAGGTTACCTTTTTTTGTGCTCAGAGTGAGGTGGCAGTGAAGTTTCGTTCAAACGCTTAGGGACGTTATCGTTGACGGAATCATCATCCTCTGAGCTACTCTCTTTCGATGTTCGTTCCCTCGTAATAAGTCTAAGGCACAAAAATAGATATGTTTATTTTAAAGTTATCTGATAACTGCAACATTTTCCTAAGATGGTGAAATCGTTTTCAACACTAATGAAAGGTTTGTGCAGTCCAATTACGCAGACATGGTAAATAAAAAATCATTTTAGCGGGTATTAATGTCTATGGAGTTCCCATGTTCCAACTACTTTGAAAAACCAACTCGCGAATACTGCGGGAAGAGAACGCGTCTGCGTTTCTCTGCGATTAATTGTGCTTTGGCTACATGTTTTGGCAGTGTATGCACCTAAAACTGACTGATTTCCCAAGTTGTCGATGATTTCCGAAAATGATTCGAAGATGTTTCGACTACTGACCAACACCTCATATTAGAAATACTGCAGGTTCCTATATGTATGTTCAGTTATAACATGCGTTCAGGCGCTCTTTTTTTCGAAGCAAACGTCAGCCGAGCGCGGGAATCACACGCCCTCAGCCGACTTTGGCTTCAAGACCACCTCATCGTAGGTTATATATATTGCCCTCGGTGGAAAATTACGTGATTAGCATTTTAAAAAACGCATGTAACTTAACCGTTTTCGCACAAAAGTCGAATCTGAAAGATCAGACGAACTTTCGTCAAGGTTAATAGCGGAGATACGAGTTCCAGGTAGTTTCCTGTCAGAAGGCAAAGAAAAGAAGAAAAAAAACTATGATTATGATTTATTAGGTACTGAATTCAATTAATTTCTCAAACCAAGAGCCAAAAACTATAAAGGGGACTATATACATAATAGAAGACGGACTGATCAACTGTAGATTTGACTTGGCAGTTGATCAGTCCGTCTTCTATTATAAACAGCTCTAGTTTTACTATTGAGCACTCTGAAAGCAGTTCTGCAGATCAACTTATTTTAATTTATATATATTTTATATTTATATATATATACTTTAAGAGATGTGATTTACAAATCTAACTCACTCTGTAAGTGAAAAGACTGATTTAGAAAGCAATTCGTCACTGTCACTGTCTATATCCGCTTTAACTTTGCCTTCACTAAAATTAAAAAGAAAAACAATAATGTTATCCGCAAATAAGGTTTCCATATACCTTCAGGAGTGTCTCATTATATCTGAATTGTATGCCGTTATGCCTTAGTTGATGGAAAAAGGATTTTACCTTTTTACTGGAGAATCCTTTGTTAAGTCTATGGTCGATACGCTAGTTGTAGTATTTTCCTTTTTACTGGAGCAGCCATCATTCTGCCGAGAAAGAGAGCGTCGTGTAAATCAAGAGATTTTGGTGTGTGCAATATCCTATCAAATTGCGATATTTTATTTAGTATTTTATTTAAACTTACTGTTAATTCCAGCAATGATACGAAACATTATGGGCCGAGTGCAGAGAAAAATATTGCGAAGCGGCAACTTACCTTTTCAAATCTGTAAGGAAAGCAACCTAAGGGCAGGACAGGTATGCCGGGAGAATAACTCTCTTCTTCCCATGACTCGAAATTGGATGGGCCTTTTATCTTACGTCGATTTTTCTAAGAAAAAAAGGCATTCAAAACATTAACATCTAGCATTAACTACATGAAAATTATATAAAAACGTATATCAGAATAAACTAAACATCTTGACGTAGCCCCTTTTGAATACATAGGTAGGTACTAACCGTTGCACAGAATCGTTCAGAAGAAGTATCATCGTTACAACTCGAGGTCTCAGAACAAGATTCATCACCATCGCTCACCACAATCAGCTCATCCTATTCAACAAATAAAATTACATCACTCAGGGTGGCTATAGAGCGGTAAATTAGATTTCATAAGGGAGCAGCGATGCAAAAACTATTTTTGTCGAAAACATAGCGATTTTATAGAATGCACAAGCTCAGAACATTCATCAACTACGAAACCAAATTCATATTGTAAATCGTTGGCATTTCCTAACAACGATCGAATACTCTTTAGCCTGTCAGTGGGGCGAGCGAAAAAAGTCGGGGCCAGCAAATATAAAACGTGCGGGGATGCGAGAAGAAAGAGTGACCTGTTCCCCAGTCCCGCGCGTGTTATCTTCACTTGTCCGCACTCAATGGTCAAATGGTCAATATGGTATTTTTTTCAACGTTGCCATTATTTTTTTCTTGAGGGAGCGTATGTTAATTGACATGTTAAGATTATATGATACCTTGTTTTTACGTTCGTTTTTGGTATGCTGCAACGGATAGCTCGATTTTGATTTGACTGGCTCCTTTTGTGAAGCTTCCTGGACATGTGGCTGCTTATCGACCAAGTTTCTTTTTAACACTTCAGCATAATGACACACTCCCTGCATAAAGATAACAATAATTCACGTATGTGAGCCCTGACTTGTTAGAAAATGCATTACATTATTACATGTGAAGGACTTATTACCTTTTCCTTGGGTCGAAGGGCAATATAGTGGTTCCCAGTGTGTCCAAAGAAAAGAGTATTTCCTGCGGTGCCTTCTTTTGGCTCGATGGTTTTTACGAAGTTCTCATCCTGCGGGGCGTAAGATTTAAAATTAATACTGAAATATACCTGACGGCGAAGCGTCATCATATTTTTAAAACCGCCAATAGAGATCCGAAGAGAGGAAATTGGAATGACTTCAAAATTAACTAAAAAAATTATAATGTTACTCTAGAAATAGTAACACACCTTTCGGATAAGCGTTTGTTTTAGTTCGTACTACAGTGCTATTAATAACAATTTGCGTACCAATTAACCATTTGCTCTGAACCGTATGCGGCCAGGGTGCATTCCCGTGTGCACGCCACCCCGAAGATACGCCAAATTTTGTCTACGCCAAAGTCCTCTATAATTCTTACCTAAAATAAGTCATCTGGGGCCAGTTGTTCCTTTGAGCTGGCAAACTTTGCCAGCTCAAAGGTGCCGCTGTACGCCAGTACGCGGCGCAAGTTTGAAATCCACGCCGAAGATCTTCGGCGTAACCTACGTAGAATCTGGTATTAAATCGGGCATCCTGTATTTATTGGCGAATTCAGTGCGGAACGGAGGTTTAGGCTTGAAAACTACTGGCTATAGATACGACCACTTCTGCCAATTTCAAGGTTGCCGTTTACCACAGCTTCGACTTTATTATTTAGGCATACATTACTTAGGTAAAGTAGAAAATTCAAGTAGTTTACCCCATGTACTGTTATAATAACAAGCTTGTAATGCAAGGCATCTGCCAAGGCTTGGATGACAAGCGAATTCGCATAGTTGTTTCGAAGTATTTCTAAAGCCTCTGACCATGTTCCTGGCACTTCCCTTCCACCCATATCTGTTTGACACAGAAAGGCCAGTCGATCATCTCCGTTATCCTGTGTAATGAAAGAAGTAGCAGGCCTCCATTTTCTGTACTATTTTTTTTATTATTATTTCACAATGTAAAAACTTTAGAGATACCGTATTTACTCGAATAAGCGACGCCCCCAAATAAGCGCTGCCCTCGGGCGCCGTACTTGAGAAGCACCGCGGCGCTTATTCTAATAAATATGGTATGTCCCTGCAATATTTCCAGTTTATATTATTCTTGCTTTCAAAAGAGCGGTACAACAGCCAAGTTATCTTAAACCCTAAAAGTCAGGCCCGTTCCTCGCGTTATTAAATTCCCTTTCTTTAAAAAAAAAAAAAACATTTTCCCTCTAACTCGCGTTATTAAATTTAAATCACGTTTATAATTGTCTACAATAAGGTATAACAATTGCCTGAATGCTGCGTTTGAAAGTGATTTTTCCGGCGCACTGGGAAGAGGGTGTATTAAGAAAAGGATAGACTTTTTTTGTGAGCCCGCCGATATTTTAGCATACTGGAAATCCAGTGTCAAATAAATATTGAATTAAAAACATTCAGGAACCGGATACATTTTACTAAAAATATAAAGGTATTAACTTGTCACGTCCAGATTTTAATTTCCAAAGCTGGAAAGTTTCCTTCAGGTATAGTTAAAAACGATATGTAATGTTATTACAGCAATTATGTTCTGTTTTCTCTGGAGCTGTCAGACAAAAGAATAACAATCTTATCTTTCGTAGTCGAAGAGACAGAATGCGATGACACTTGTTTTCCGGACAAAATCAACATTCCATTGCTTTCTATTCAGCTAGATGTAAAAATCCCGAGTTTCATGAATAAGGTTCCTCCTTTTTTCGAAAAAGTGTTTAGAAATTGTAAGAATGTTGAGTATTTTTAAAAATTTTACAGACACTGAGTATTAAATGGAGACAAGTGGTAGTGTTAAGTTGTTGAAGTATGTGGAGGACAAAGGATTTCAAATAGACATAGACTTCAACCCGCCTTGCGATGGCACGTGCTTCTATGATTCAGCAGGCTATCAGCTGGGTCTTAATGCAAATTTTTTTTTTTTTTCAATTTTGAGATTTTTCAACCCTTGACTTGTTACCCTCGACCCTCGACGTATTCCCTCGAAAACACCGAACATGTACAAAAATAAATTCATTGACAAACACGGCATCAAAGCAATCGCTTCAGACTTATAAAAACCTAGGCAACCTTTCTTGCATCTTCAGAATGAAATTGAACAAAAATGGCCAGAAGAAATTAACTACTTACATCAAACTGATGATTATCCAGGTACTCAAAGATGACAGAGGTCAATGTTGACGCACTAAATCCAATTTGAAACGAAGCGGCGTGATAAAAACATTTGCCGTCTGCTGGTGGGTCGAATGCGACCTCAAATCCGGCCTCTGCCACTCTAGTGGCTAGTTTTGAAGAAACACTTGACTGAGGAAAGAGGCAAACACATGCAACAGTCAGCCTACTGTCAGAGCAAACCTGTTAAAATTAACCGATTTACTTACCATTCTTGTCGCCAACACAGTAAGTTCGAACTAAAGTGCGCTGTTATCTTTTTTCCTGAATGATTTTCCACGTGGATAGCAATGAGTGACAGCTGTCATTGGATACCCCTTCGAGTAGCGGAGCGGTGGAGCTGTATGTTTCATTCTCTCAGAATAAAAAATGATGACTTCAACTTAAAGTCAGTCTGTGATTGGTTGAAAAATTCCCGCGGCAATTTAATGGGTTCCTCCCGTAGAAAACAAAAACTTCAAAAAAATATTCAAAGTAAGGACTAAAATGTTGATTACTTTGTCAAGTTTGGTAGACAAAGCAACACTGTATTCAATGAAGCGATCCTTTCTATCAAAAGTGAACGATACGATAAGTTCTAAATCTCTTTTTGTTGGTTTGAACGGTTTGTTTACATCGAGCTGAGCTATGCGCGGGCTAATCACGCCATCATAATTTTGAAAAAAAAAGTTTTCGCTAAAAACTTGGCAAACTTGCGTTATTTACTCATTTTGTTCGACGCATGTTTCTTTGAAAAACTTCAGAAAGATGTTCTTTCGAATTTTTTTGTTTCAATGAGTAATTTATGGCGTGAAAAGTCGGGTTTTTCGAAACTTTTTGCAAAACAAAAACCTGATAACGCGTATAGCAAGAATTTTTGTTTTGAGACGGCAATACTGCACTATATTGACGGCTAGTTGGATCTCCGTATTGAGCCGAAATTGAGCCATCACGAGGAACACTGCTTCGCGTCGCGCCAGAGAGAGAGGAACCTGGGAGCGAGGTAACTCCGTTTACAAGATGGCGGCTAGGCAAGTCGCAGGTAAAACCCAGGATGTTTGCTGGTGGAATAATCGACGACCTCCCCGACCAATTTAAGAAAAACGGAATTACTCAAAAATGGCTCACAGGCATGGCTCGCATGACTCGCACCGTGGCTCGCGTGGCTCGCAGATTTGGTTGACCCAACTCGCTCGGGTATTAAAAACTAAAATACCACCTCAAAAATAATAATTTTTATATATAAATAATCCGCACATTTTATGTCGTGTGGATAGTATTAACGACATTTTAAGTAAAAACGGTAACTACAACTTAACTCAAACTTAACTCAAACTTAACTCAAACTCAACTCAACTCTTAACTTGGTAAATAGTCGATCCCCCTTGGTCCAGTGCGTTCTTGCCAGATTTCTGCATGCTTAGGTTATGAACGACCGGGAATACCATGAAATGATTAGTCTAGTGTGTCTCAGCCATGTGCAAAGAATAATAATAATAATAATAATAATAATAATAATAATAATAATGATGATGATGATGATGATGATGATGATGATAGTCATGATGATGATAATAGTAATAATAATCATCATTATATTATCATCGTTATCATCATAGTTATAATCATAATCATTAGAGGGGTTAAAACTGAAATAAAGTAACCAGTAGCAAAAGTTAAATATAAACATTTAAAATAGATGATGAAAGATAAACGATAGCAATTTTTAAATCACTATTGGTACACTTTAAGAGCGTAACTAGCGTTAAAATTCCTCCATTACAACACCATCAGGAAATTACAAAATTACAATAGGACCCAATTTTTTTCGTACACGTAGAAAGAAGAAATGATTAAACGTCAACACAGAAATGTCTGAAATCATCAAACATTCTAAGGTGATTAGGGAGGCTATTTTTCAAAACAAAAATATTTGAAGCAGAGTCCAGAGAGTACATTTTTTGAGCGGGATTGAAGGCCTAATAGCAGAACCAGTCCCAGGTTACACGGCTCTTGCTAAGGGGCCTGGGAACGCAATGTACGCCATCTAGTAGCTTGATTATTAGTTCTTTGTGTAGAGCTGCCTATGGACTCATCTAAGTTAATGTCCCTCCTTTCCTGATCATGGGTAACCATCCAAGTTTTAGAATGTCTTTTTTTCCCCGACGTATCGTCCCGTGACAAAAGTGGCTGCTGTTGTTGATCGTCACAGGAAAAATCATCAAAAATTATGCCAGAGGTCAGAACATGTATTTACGCAGACGCTGGGGTATAACCGCGTAGCTTAAAGACAAATTAACAACATGAGGAAAAATACATAGAAGCCAATAGCTTCTAAACGCGTGACTGACCATTACGCGGTATACTCAGCAATCATGTGGGAGAGAGAACGACTCGGAACCAACAACACAGGCTAAGTGATCTTGGCGATTGTGTGTCTGATTGCGGCCCGCGTGTGGTCACAACTGCAAATAAGCTATCAGTAAAAAAAGGGGTCAAGGGCGGTGCCATCATTGGGATTATCTTGTTTTTCTTCACAATTGTGCTAGAATTCCATTTCAAGACCTTTGTCTCACAGGAAATGCTTGTAGAGTTAGTATCTGGTGGTCTTTTAGTACCAATTTCATATCAGACATAGGGGGAGATCTTGAAAAAGGGAGCCCGTAGGCTATCATGACGATTGTCATTTGTACTCAACATCCATGGTCAAAAACATAATTATGAATAGTCTTCCACGCTGTAATAACCACTTTTTTCCTCGCATTATATTTCATTTTAGTGCCATTGAATCAAAATGTCTTTGGAGATTCAAAGTTTTTAACAATTTTGCATGACAGTGTCCTCGTCCTAATTCTTTGTTATTTGCGCGTGTTAGAGATTTGGCGGCGGAACAGCCATCCTTGCGGCTTTGCTAAGAGAACTATCTCCTCCGCAGACGCTCCCGCTTTGTATCCCAATAAGAATACAGCGGTAATTTAACAATAGCTAGTGCGTAGTCCCCCGCGCGCTTTCTTTTTCTCTCTCCCCCAGCCTCCCTACGATACAAAGAGGCCCCTGCGGAAGAGAGAGCTATGAGAAGCGAGCGCTGAAGGCGCGAGAATTTTAACGCGTCTCCTCCCCAATTTCCGCTAAGCTTCGCAGTTCCTATGTCAAAACTTTGCTCGCGCTAACAATCCCGCCGACTATGCTGACTAGTATTGAAACAATACAAGTGATAATAGTATTTTGTGAGTATATCATTATTTATGTAACTAGGATACGTCTGCAGCAGATGACTGACTGTCTGGCGCATCCTAAATATTCTTTTTACATTGAATGTCTTCTTGTTAGTGGCGTTTGTGAATGTGTTTTGTGTTGAAGACTGTGAGCGGGTTCACAAATCAGTAAGAAGTTTGCTGCCTCGGGGAAAACCTCAGCGGCCTGGCATGTCTCGAATTAAAAGCACTTAAGGTGATCCATAAACCGCAGTTGTATCTTCACTTTATAATCAGCTATCACGTTTCGGTGATGCCGTGATGTATTGTACTGAAGGCTTAGACGAATAAGGTGTTCAGTAACTTCATCAATTAGCTGTATTGGACGTCTGCATTTGAATCGCCGTCTGCCCAAACCACATTGGCGGTGTCGCCAAGAGGCTCGATGGCGTCATGTCGCTAGAAAAAAGTGACCCTTAAAGGCCCGCCAT